CGTTTAAAATCCTTCAATTACCATACCTTAACACTAGATTGCCGAAGGCAGTCATTTTGACCGTTTTTCAATTTCAAGTACAAAAACAATTGTGTATATTATGACCCAGTTTTTTTAAATTTGGTTACTTTTTGTACCACATAGAACTACGTTTATTAATAATAGTAGCTGCTTCCTCCCCTCTTTCATTCCCCGTATTCACATGTGCTATACCTATATTGCCTAAAAGCGGTCATTTTGACCTTTTTGAAATATTAAATAATCAAACTACTTTTATTATTGCATAAAGTAAATTTCTTATATGACCAGATCGGTACAACAACATCGAAACCCGTTTGCTACTCTAGAAACACTAACGAACACACAAATCGGGAAAAATAAATTTTATATTTCCAGTCGATTTCACTCTTAGAGTAAAGACTTCCTCTTTTTCGATTATTTTGTCCGCGCTCTTATTTTTCCAAAGGGGAAACTCGAGAGCCCTACCACCGATAACAAATAATAACAACGTTTTGTATGATGTAAAAAATATTAAAAATTAGTTTAAAAAATTCTTTACACAATAAAAATTCTTTCAGAATGAGATTATTTTGACCGATTTTAGGCAATATAGGTATATACAAAATTCCCGTCTTTCTAGTGTTAAAACCATCGGGATCCCTATATGGGGACTTTGTCAATACATACTTAACACAAGTTAGGCTATACTAACTTCAGTGCCTTGTGACAAATTTTTGGGTCTTTGGTGCACCATTTACAGAAGATCGGAACATATGGGAGCTATATTTAAATATGAATCAATGTCATTTAAATTTGAACCACGTTATGTTATAATAACTTCAGTGCGATTTGCAAAATTTAGTGGCAATCGGTCTAAGTTTGGGTCTTTGGTACACCATTTGCTTAAAATTGGGTGAACACATATATCGGAGCTATATCTAAATCTGAACCGATTTCAGCAAAACATGACGCACTTTTGGCTACACTAATATCAGTACGTTTTGTAAAATTGTGTGCCAATATGCCTTTGGGTCTTTAGTGCCACATTTACTTAAAATCGGACGAAAATATAGTACGAATTTCCAAAAATTTTTACAAATCCCAATCCTACACCCCAAAAGTGATTCTAACGTCAAATATCAAGATTCTAGCTCTATCGGTTCACCCAAACCCAAATTTGGTACTAAATAGTACACATTAGTACCATTAATTAGTATTGGGATTCGCTACATATCCCAATCCTACAGCCCAACAATGATAATAACTTCAAATTTCAGGATCCCACCTCTAGTGGTTCAACCAAATCCAAATTGTAGCAATTATAGTACAAAACAAGTGAAAAAGCATTAAGTTCGGCCGGGCCGAACTTTGGATACCCTATACTATAGATATACTGACAGGTACTTGAAATGAAAATATAGGGAAAATACCAAAAAGTGGACTCATACCGACTTTTCTACGAAACGATTATGTAAACCATTATACACATTTCAGAAATTTTTAATGGATAATTATACCCTCAGACTTATGGCTAATGGGGGTGTATACACTTTGACATGGTGAAAATGAGCCTCATCGAAATATTGGTTCTAGACCCCATGTTTCTTTGGACCAAATTAGTTTCAGAAAATTTAGATTTCATTCAAACTCTGCCCATCTTATTATTTCTGCTAAACTTAGTTCAAGTTGGAAGATGGGGAATATCGGTCCACTCCATTTGGTACCTTCCATAGAGGAGTTAGGCCTAAATGCGGGTTATAGTTCATTATCGAACTTTACGTTCTAGTTTTTTTTATCTCGATATCCTTCGCAGGTGAAATGAAATGTGTATACACTTTCACACGGTGAAAATGTGCCTCATCGAAATATTGGTTCTAGACGCCATGTTTCTTTGGACCAAATCCGTTTCAGAAAAATTTGATTTCATCCCATCGTATTATGTCTTCCAAACTTAATTCAAGCCCGAATTTGGGGAATATCGGTCCATGCCTTCTGGTACCTCCCACACAGGGGCTACGGCTAAGCCTTAATACGGGCTATAGTTCATTATCAAACCGTATGTTCTATTTTTTTATCTCGATATCGTTCGCAGGTGAAATGATTACAACAGAGTGTTAGAACCAAATATAAACCAGTAAGGAAAGTAGTAAAGTCGGACTGGGCCGACTATATGATACCCTTCACCACTTTGGGTATATTTTATATATGTATCCTAACAGACGACGCGTTTTGTTATAAATCTATATCTGAACCGATTTCAGGGAAACTTGCCAGAGACTAATTTATATAACATCAGTATGTTGTGTCAATCGGCCAAGCTATGGATCTTTTCACGAAGCTTAGCAACATCATTCTAGACTTAATTCAGTACCCTATACCAAAATTCGTGCAAATTGAAAGATATATAGGGTCTTTGGTGCACCAATTACCTTAAATCGGATGAAAATACATATAGGAGCTATATCTAAATCTGAACCGATTTTCACGAAACTTGGCAGACATCATTCTCGATCTTATTAATAACTCTGTGCCAAATTTCGTTCACATCAAACGATTTCCAAGGACTTTAGTGGACTATTTACCTAAAATCGGGCGAAGATATATATGGGAGCTATATCTAAATCTGAACCGATTTTCGAGAAACTTTGCACACATCATTCGTGACATTATTCATTACGCTGTGCTAAATTTCGTGCAAATCGAGAGATATATAAGAACTTTGCTGCACCATTTACCTTAAATCGGACGAAAATATATATGGGAGTTATATCTAAATCTGAACCGATTTTTCCCAATTTCAATAGGGTTCGTCCTTGAGCCAATCAAATGAGCTGTGCCAAATTTCATCCAATACGGATCATAAATGCGACCTGTACTTTGTTAACAATTTAACATGGACAGACAGACGGACGGACGGACATGCATAAATCGATTTAGAAAGTGATTCTATGCATATTTTCAAAAGGAACCATGGGTCTATCTCGATTATATTTGCACAAACATATGCACAAAGACATAATACCCTGTACCCTGTGGTGAAGGGTAAAAAAATGAGTTTATATGGGGACTACGCCTAAAAGGGGTTGACTATTAATAATTTTTGGTAGGGAGATTTGTTTCCATATACGGCTACAATATACCAAATTTCAGTGATTTCGGTTGAAAAATGCGCTCAAGAACCGAAATTTGGGGGTACCTTTGTATGGGGGCTACCAGAAAAAATTAACTTATATTTATATTTTTTATATTAACTTATATTTTAATTTTTTATATTTATATAAGAACCCAATGTACCAAATTTCAGCGAATTCGGTTGAAAATCGCGCTCAAGAACCCTAAAATACCGAATATTGGGGGGTACCCTTATATGGGGGCTACCGGAAAAAATTGACCCATATTTATAATTTTTAGTATAGAGATTTGCTACTCAATAAGAACTCAATGTACCGAATTTCAGCGAATTCGGTAGAAAAATGCGATCAAACCCCCCCCCCCCCCCAATACCGCAAAATTGGGGGTACCCTTATATGGGGGCTACCCGAAAATATGGACCCATATTTATAATTTTTAGTGGAGAGATTTGCTACTCTTATTTGGAAGCCATCTTCGAACTTGACCTGCCTGCAGACAAAATACAACCCAATGCAAAATTTCAGCACCCTATCTCAATTCCTTCAGAAGATAGCGTGATTACAACAGATAAGAACCAATAAGAACTCAATTTACCAAATTTCAGCGAATTCAGTTGAAAAACGGGCTCAAGAACCTTAAAATACCGAAAATTGGGTGGTACCCTTATATGGGAGCTATACCTAAACGTGGACCGATAAAGCCCATCTTCGAACTTGACCTGCCTGCAGACAAAAGACGACTCTATGCAAAATGTTGGCGATCTATCTCCATTCGTTTAGACGGTAGATTGATTACAACAGAAAGACGGACACACAGACAGACGGACAGACGGACATGGCTATATCGTCATAGAATTTTACGCTGATCAAGAATATATATACTTTATATGGTCGGAAATGATTATTTCGATGTGTTACAAACGGAATGACAAAATTAATATACCCTCCATACTATGGTGGAGGTTATACGTGACCTGCCTGCAGATAAAAGACTCTATGCAAATTTTTTGCGTTCTATCTCAATTCATTTAGACGCTAGAATGATTACAATAGACAGACGGACATGCTTAGATCTTCATAGAATTTTACGCTGACTTTATAGGGTCGGAAATGATTATTTCGATGCGTTACAAACGGAAAAACAAAACTAATATACCCTCCATACTATGGTGGAGGGTATAAAAAAAACCAAACAACTTACATATTCCAATCCTACACTCCGGCGGTAATGTTAATTTCAAATTTGAGGAGTCCAGCTCCATCTTTACCTCCAATTAAAAATTGTACCAAATATAGTACAATATCGTACTTTTCGGTACTTTTGAAAGCGTGTACACGCTTATGTCGACCCTTTATTTAATTCCAAGTTTTTAGCTCTATCCATTCACATGCTCTGGAATTGTAACAAAATTAGTACATTTTAGTACTTTTCGAATACATATAGTTCGAATTTCCAAAAACCCTTTGGTACGTCTATCTAAGTACAAATCGAGTTGCCACCTATCCATTCACAACCTTTACTCACGGTAATAACTTTTAGATAATTATTTTGACAAAATCATTTTATGACCCCCTATCAACCTAACATATTCCGAATTAGATGATGAAATTTCTAAACAACGTTATGTCCCCCCTGTATAGACTAACAACATTTAATGAATTGATTTTACAAAGACAATAAAAACAACAACAACATCTATTACTTATCAATATAAATTTTATTTTATTTTTCATATGAATACAATCAATGATAACAAATCAGATAATTTTTATTTCAAAACAAATATCGGACTAAAATATAGCTTAACTTTTTGTTTGCAGCACAGTTCAGTCTAGTTGCAGAAGTTAGGGATAGAAGAACAAACGACCATGGCCAATATTCGACCACTGAATGAAGAATTGCAAAAAGTTGCCATTGAATTGGGCGAAGTACCATCACGATTGGCAGATGATTTGGCGGCGCTCAAGGAATGGATACACCAACAGCCACATTTGAGGGCGAATACAGATGATCAATTTTTGGTGGCCTTTTTGCGTGGTTGTAAATATTCGCTGGAAAGAGCGAAGTCGAAAATTGATCGTTATTTTACAATGAAGAGTAAATTTCCCGAACTATTTGGTCCCATTGATGTGGATAATCCAAGGGTGAGGGAATTGCTGCGGACAGGGTAGGTTTTTCGGTGAAGTGGAATAAATTTAAAATAAAAATTGAATTTTTTCAGAACATGGTTATACTTACCCACCCCCTTGAATGAAAATGGTCCCCGCATTGGCATTATGCGTAGTGGTCTCTATTCCGTTGACAAATTCTCTGCCGAAGAAGTTATGCATGTTGCCCATGCCCTGCAGGAAATTAGTTTATTAGAAGATGATCATGCCATTTTGCAGGGTGTAATATTTATTGGTGATTTTGAAAAGGCCACTATGGCCCATATGATGCAAATGACACCATCGTTGATGAAAAAAATGACCGTCCATTCTGAAGAGGCGGTGCCACTTAGACCCAAGGCTCAACATTTTATAAATACAATTGCCGGATTTGAACCTATTTTCAATATGGTGAAACCCATGATGTCGGCTAAGCAGCAGAAGAGGGTAGGTTGGAAAATTTTATTTCTAGAAAAGAATTTTAGATTTTTTTATCGAACTTTTTTTCAGTTATATGTCCATGGCAATAAAATGGATTCACTGATCAAAGAAATCCCCCTCAAGTATTTACCCAAAGAATATGGCGGTGAAAATGGTTCGGTTGAGGAGATAATTGCCGAATGGGACAAAAAATTGGATCAATATAGAGATTATTTCAAGCGTAGTGCTGAATGGGGTACCGATGAAAAGTTGCGTCCCGGCAAGGCCATTGATTTTGAAAGCCTTTTTGGCATTGATGGTTCGTTCCGTAAATTGGATGTCGATTGACTTATTAATGAAATTTTTAAGGATATTTTAGAGTGACAAAGGATATTTTTAAGAGTAATCGGATTTATTTATCGAAAATAAAAAAAATTGAAAAGAACAGATATTTTTTTTTAGAAACGTTTACCTAAGAGGAAGTTTGTTTTCTTCGGCTATTTTTCGAAGTATTCATCTTCTTCGGGTATTCTTTGCAAAAGTCGTATTTTTGGCTATTTTATTTAAGGAAGCGTTCTTTTTCGGCTACTCTATCGAAGACTTCTTTCGAAGAAGTCTTTTTTTTGTGGCTATTCGTTGAGGAGATTTTTTTTTTTTTTTTTGGTTATTCAATGCAAAGAAGTCTTCTTCTGCTAATCGATGCTAAGAAGTATTCTTCTGCTAATCGATGCGAAGAAGTCTTCCTCTGCTAATCGATGCGAAGAAGTATTCTTCTGCTAATCGATGCTAAGAAGTCTTTTTCTGGTATTCTATACGAAGAAGTCTTCATCGGCTATTCTCTTATAAGATCTCCCTCAAGATCTCTTATTTTTCGCCTACTCCATTGAAGAAGTCCTCTTATTCGACTTTTCCATTGAAGAGTACTTATTTCTTTTTCCGAAACATTTAATCCCGTTCGAAACCTATTCCAGAGTTACAATTTTTAAATTTTAAAACTACTCTATTCCCCCCTCTTCGACAATTTTTATTGAATTGGTTTTACAACAACAACTACTACTTATCAATAGAGCATTTTGAATATTCATATAAATAATCGACGATAAGAACTCAGATAATATTTCTACCAAAGCAATTATCGACTGGAATATAACTTAGCTTTTGAGCGCAAATCAGTCTAGTTGCTGAACTGACGGATAGAACAACGTACGACCATGGCCAATATTCGACCTTTGAATGAAGATTTGCAAAAAGTCGCCTCTGAATTGGGAGAGTCGCCTTCACGTTTGGCAGATGATTTGGCTGCGTTGAAGGAATGGATACGCCAACAGCCTCATTTGAGAGCCAACACCGATGATCAATTTTTGGTGGCCTTCTTGCGAGGCTGTAAATATTCCTTGGAACGTACAAAAACGAAAATTGATCGTTACTTTACAATGAAGAGTAAATTTCCCGAATTGTTTGGACCCATAAATGTAGATGATCCGAAAGTAAGGGAACTTCTTCACACCGGGTAAAAATTATGAAGATTTGGTTTGTGGACTCATGTTGATAAAATTTTATTTCCCCACAGAACTTGGCTATTTTTACCTACACCCTTGAACGGTAATGGTCCACGTATTGGCTTAATGCGTAATGGTGTTTATCCCGCTGATAAATTCGCCATCGAAGATGTGTTGAAACTAATCCACGCAATGCAGGAAATTAATATGATAGAAGATGACTATGCCATTCTGCAGGGTGCAATATTTATTGGTGATTTTGGAAAGTCAACCATGGCCCATTTAATGCAAATGACACCATCGATAATGAAAAAAATGACGGTGTACTCCGAAGAGGCTGTGCCACTGAGACCAAAGGCTCAACATTTTATTAATACCATTGCAGGTTTCGATGCCATTTTCAATATGGCGAAACCCATGTTTTCGGCGAAGCAACAGAAGAGGGTATGTTTTGAAAATGTCCAAGCTATCAAATTTATATCCAATCAAAATCTCTTCCTTCCAGTTATTTGTGCATGGCAGCAAAATGGACTCGCTTTTCAAGGAGGTGCCTCAGAAATATTTACCCAAGGAGTATGGCGGTGAAAATGGTTCGATTGAGGAGATAATTGCCGAATGGGACAAGAAATTTGATCAATATAGAGATTATTTCAAGCGTAGCGCTGAATGGGGCACCGATGAAAAGTTGCGTCCCGGCAAGGCCATTGATTTTGAGAGTCTTTTCGGTATTGATGGATCCTTCCGTAAATTGGATGTGGATTAATTATTTACATAGGATTTTTGAAGATTTGTTTTTTTTTGTATGTGTGAAAATAAATTAAATAAATTATTTATTTAAAATAACAAAAACTGATTGATGTTCAGTTCTACCGCTAGCAGAAGAAAATAAAACTTTTGTACAGTGCAACAAAAAAAAAAAAAAACAGTTAAGAAAGTAGTAAAGTCGGACGGGGCCGACTATATGATACCCTTCACCACTTTGGGTATATTCAACAGATAGGATCCTAACAGACCTCGCATTTTTGAAGGACCATTAACATGAAATTAAACATGTCATTCTGCAACCTATACTAAATTTTGGTCAGATATAGAGTTGCTTCTTACAATGGAACAAAATTATGTAAATAAATTTAAAGCAAAATATAGAAATCTAAACCGAATCCATCGAAACTTGTCAGATTTTAGGTTACACTAATTTCAGTATATTTTTGCTTTCGGCCACATTTTGAATTCTTCATTTACTTATAAATCCAAATTTCTTGCAAATCGAAGGACATATAGGAACTTTGGTGCACTATTTACCTAAAATCGGACGAAAATATATAGGGGAGCTATATCGAAATCTGAACCGATTTTCACGAAATTTAACACACATCTTTCTAGCCTTAATTTAGTACGCTATGCCAAATTTAGTGCAAATCGAAGGATATATAGGGACTTTGGAGCACGATTTACCTAAAATCGGACGAAAATATATATGGGAGCTATATCTAATTTCACGAAATTTTACACACATCATTCTAGACCTAAATTTCGTGCAAATCGAGATATAAAGGGATTTTGGTGCACCATTTAACTTAAATGGGACGAAAATATATATGGGATCTATATCTAAATCGGAACCGATTTTCACCAAACTTAGCACACATCATTCTAGACCTTATTCAGTAGGCTATACCAAATTTCGTGCAAATCGAAAGATATATAGGGACTTTGGTACACCATTTACCTTAAATCGGGTGAAACTATATATGGGAGCTATATCTAAATATGAACCGATGTTCACGAAACTTAGCATACGTCATTCTAGATTTAATTCAATACGCTATGCCAAAATTCGTGTAAATCAAATGATTTTCAGGGACTTTGGTGCACCATTTACCTAAAATCGGGCGAAACTATATATGGGAGCTATATCTAAATCTGAACCGATTTTCACGAAATTTAGCACACATCATTCTAGACCTAATTCAGTAGGCTGTACCAAATTTCGTGCAAATCCAAAGATATTTAGGGACTTTGGTACCTCATTTACCTTAAATCGGACGGAAATATATATGGGAGATATATCTAAAAATGGACCGATTTTTCCCAATTTCAATAGGGTTCGTCCTTGGGCCAAACAAATGAGCTGTGCCAAATTTCATCCAATTCGGATCATAAATGCGACCTGTACTTTGTTTACAATTTAACATGGACAGACGGACGGACGGACATGCGTAAATCGACTCAGAAAGAAGACCCGTGTTTCGGTATTTTCGGAAGATATGGTGTCCTGATGATATAAATGTGGGGAATATTTTAGTCTAATGCGTTAACCCTCAGTTGACTCTCTGAAGGGGTATTTTCGGTCCCATTTTAGAGAAATGATTGAAAACTCATATGAAACGGGGTTATAGCAGGTCAGAGTATTCTACAAAAATGTTCGCCAGAATCTTTTAATAATAATAACAGAATCTTTTAATAAAAACAAAAATTAACCGAAAAGCCAAAAATCTTAAAAATATTTTTTTTTTTTTAATAATGTGTCCTAAATTGACGTCTATATATTCGGTATAAATATTACATATACCGATTTCTTTTGTTCAGTGACTTATACTAAAATTTGATGGAGAATATTTATGTCCTTTATATCATCCTTCTAAAACGACATCTAGTGGCAAAAATTGCTACAAACTCGGAATAAAATCATTTTTAACCCTTTAACCCTTTATGTCTTATATAGATATATTTTATAAGCATAATTAAATTATATTATAATTATTATTATAAATTATCTATCTATTAAAGAATAATTGTGTCATCGTATCCCTAGAACCCCCTAGCATACAATGTGTTTAGAATTTTGTCATACATACATCCATATATTTTATTGTATTGAACCTAAGGTAACCACCAATTAATGTTTTCCCATTTCTTTCAATATTTTATCATCATTCAATATTATTATCAACAATGTCTGAGAATCGAAACAAAAAGTTACAAATCATGTCCGAATAAAACAGTAACACCATGCCTAACTAAATTAATCGCACAATTTGATAATATATTCAAACATTTTCAATGCAAACACCTGGAGATAGTGGCCAGAAAGAGAGGGAGAACATTTTTTCTCATAATCAAAAACCAAAAAAAAATGTTTAACTTTTTTATTTGGAAATTCTAAGTGCAAATTTTCAAATACCTTGACAATGTCCAAGATCTTATCGTAATTTTATATTTTCATTGATAACTAGGCGTTTATTTTTATTGATATTATTAGTTCTCCCTCAACGAACCACTCTACTGGCAATTGGGAATAATTCAAAAATTTAGTTTATAATCAATAGTGTGACTAGTTAAACATGGCCAACGTAAGACCGCTTAGTGAAGAATTACAAAAAAATGCCGAGGCATTGGGAGAGGTACCAGCACGTCTGGCCGATGATTTGGCCGCATTGAAGGAATGGATACGCCAGCAGCCACATTTGAGAGCGAATACAGATGATCAATTTTTGGTAGCCTTCCTGCGCGGTTGTAAATATTCATTGGAAAGGGCCAAGGCAAAAATCGATAAATTTTTCACATTGAAATCAAAATTCCCGGAAATATTCTCCGCCACCGATGTCAATGATCCGAAATTTAGAGATATTTTCCGTTTGGGGTAAGTTAGAAGTAACAAATTTTTATAGAAATTTAAGTGTTGAAGGTCTAATCGCCATGACACTGACTATATTGCAATTGTCTTCGATATGACTTGAATATTTAGTGAAAATATTGCAATTTCCGATTAAAAATGTCACCAAAAATATCAGACCTAATATTATCAGAACACTCAGAGTCCACTTAATAATAAATTCAATACTGATATGTTAACGATAATCTTATCTTGCTCAACTCTCTGAGAACAGCGAAGCCGGAACATCAAATTGTATAACACGTGAATATCATATAGAAAACAATGAGAAGAAACTCTCTCTGAAGACCTATGTTCTCTACACAGACCAAATGGCCTATATGAAGGTCAATGGTCTCTATACAGACCAAATGGTCTATAGAAAGACCTATGTCTATATATAATTTGTCTATATAAAGACATATGCTCTCTATACAGACCAATTGGTCTATATAAAGACATATGGTCTCTATACAGACCAATTGATCTATAAAAACCTCTATTTCCCTATTTTTTTCTCCAGCATGTGGTTATATCTGCCAACACCCTTAAACGAAAATGGTCCTCGACTTGCTATTATGCGCAGCGGTCTTTATTCCACCGATAAATACACTGCCGAAGAAGTGATGCAAGTTGCCAGCGCCTTACAGGAAATACTCATCCTTGAAGATGATTATGCCAATGTAAATGGTGTTATATTTATTGGTGATTTCGAAAAGGCCACCATGGCACATTTTATGCAATTCACACCATCGCTAATGAAGAAAATGACCGTGTTCTCAGAGGAAGCTGTACCCCTGCGGCCAAAGGCATCACATTTCATTAAGACACCCGCAGGATTTGAACCCGTTTTCAATATGATCAAACCCATGATGTCCGAGAAGCAACAGAAGAGAGTAAGTTAATAAGAGAGAGTAACTCTCTTTTTTATAATTTTATTTTGTGAACAAAATTCATTATCTTTATGAACATTTTTCCTAATTTGTTTTCCAGTTATTTGTCCATGGCAATAAAATGGATGCCTTGATCAAGGAAATCCCTCTGAAATATTTACCCAAAGAATATGGCGGTGAAAATGGCTCCTTCGATGAAATTATTGCCGAATGGGATAAAAAACTTGATGCCTATAGTGATTACTTTAAAAAGAATGCTGAATATGGTACCGATGAAAAATTGCGCCCGGGCAAAGCCATTGATTTTGACAGCATGTTTGGCATGGAGGGTTCATTCCGTAAATTAAATGTTGATTAATTTATATATTTTTTTTTCTTAATTTAATTGTAATCGTTTTTAAGAATTTGGAATTTGTTATTGCTTTATAATAAACAAATATTTTTTATATAATATAATTTTTTTATATAATAAAAAAACATCAATTTGTAATTTAATTTATTAGTTTATTGTAGTCGCTCTAAATATTGAGAGAACTGGTTCTGTGTCGAGTTCATTATATTTCCTAATTTTGGTAGATCATTGACCGCTGTGCGGGTTTAAAATGAAAATGACTAATCAGTTTTCTTGATTGTCATTGTATTACTTAATAAAAATAATTATACTTATGTCTAGGTTATTGTCCCACCTCTGAACTACAGTAATGGATGTTACGTTAATATAATAGCTATTTGAAATGTTGAATAAATATTCGTTGAACATCAGGAATAGCAAAATGCACAAAATAATAAAAATATGCAGATCTTTTATCAAAAAAAAAAAAAATAAATAAATCACTTTGAAGATATCTATCTATAGAAAGCCATTTCGATATCTTTCGTCTATTGGATATTTTCTGTCATTAAACATCTCTTTGGATATCTTCTGTCATTCGAATATCCCTTGGAGATCTTCTATTCATTGATCCCTTTGTAGAGATTTCCATCGAATACATAAATGTATAGAGGAACCATTAAAGATGTTTTGGAAAACCCTTGCAAAGTCCATAAAGATACCACATTGTCGAATGATACTTGTCAAAATTATCCAACCTAAGTATCTCTAATTTGACATTTTTATACCCTTCCCCACACTGTGGTACAGGGTATTATGTCTTTGTGCATATGTTGGAGAACAACCTATTATTTATTTATATTTTATTTATTAATTAATTATTAATTTTATATTAATTCCTAATTTTTAATATTTGCCCCTATTCATAATTTCCCCAATATTAATTTCTAATTTGGCATCCCTAATTTTATTTCTAAATTGTCACGACTGACATCCCTATTTTCTTGTAATTCTAATTTTTGCCTATTCCCTTTCTTCAACTAATTCAAGGTCAGAATTTGTCTCAACAGCAGTCGGTCGTTGATCTTTGTTTACATTCTGACAAAACGCATAAACAAACATTCCTAACAACGCAAGCAGAGTCATTATGTACAAAGGAAGATGTTACCTTGATGGCAACTGCTGTTGATCACTTATATTAGTATCGTTGTGCTTCTCTGCCTTGCTGCGTAAACTAATTCTGATAGTCAATTTTGTGATCTTTCTGCCGCGCTGCATATTGCAAAAGAAGCCAAATAACATTTCATTAAATATTAAATTAATTTATAGTTTTATAATAATATTAAATAATTGAATTGCCCAATCGGGAGCAAATTATTTTCTAATTATATTTAATTATAATTGTGTTATTAAAAAAATTGCCCCGAAGCAATTTGTAATTTTAAAATATAAATTTTGTGTTTTTTTGCGCTGGCTCGAGGAGGCAATAAATATTCCTACAGCATGTGTTTATAACAGGCAAAAAGAAACGAGAATATTCATTGAATCTCTTTCTGAGCCGCTTTATGCTTTTACGTCTGTCCGTCCGTCCATGTTCAATTGTAAAGAAAGTACAGGTCGCGTTTATGATCCGAATTTGGATGAAATTGAAATAGGAGAAAATCGAAAGGACTTTGGTGCCCCAAAAGTCACTATATATCTTTCGATTTCCACGAAATTTGACATAACGTACTGAATTGAGCCTAGAATGATGTCTGCAAAGTTTCGTGAAAATTGGTCCAGGTTTAGATATACCTCCCATATATAGTTTCGTCCGATTTAATGTAAAAGGTGCACCAAAGTCCCTATATATCTTTCGATTTTCACGAAATTTGGCATAATGAGTCTGGAATGATGTGTTCTGAGTTTAGTGAAAATCGGTTCAGATCTAGATATATATATATATATATATTCGTCCGATTTAATATAACACTGTGCATCACTAAAATCTTGAACCAATCGAGACCCCCCAAAATCTTGAAGCTTGTGATGGTGGAAGAAAATCCCTAGCTGGGTTTTGCATTATTAGCTAAGGTTTTCTTTTAAATTAATTTTTAAAATATTCGACTCGAGGTGGATTTTAACACAATTTTCGAATAATACGTACTTATTATTGAGTCTATATCTCGTGAACTATTCGAAATATTGCTTTTCTCTCTTAAGCAATATTCTTCCTCTTAATTAGATCTAAAAATTTTTTCTTGAGATAAAATCAATAAAACATCACCATAATACTGAAAATAGCACAACTGCAAAAAAATTAAAATTTCGACATACTTTTGCCATGTTTTTTCACACTTATTTCAGAAACTGCTGCCAAACAATATATGACAAGAAAATAGTCAATAGCAAATCAAACAACTCTTCTTAAAACCCCGATTTCATTGGTTGACTACTTCACATAGTTATAGCCTCACAAATTCATCAAAATGAGCCAAAGAAATTCACTCCCAATTGTATGTTTATAGAAATAAAAATTGCTATGCTTTTTCAATAAATAGGTACAAAATTAAAGTAAAAATTAAAATGTTTGGGCCCTTTGGTTTTTTTTCGAAGACATGTCGCTGCCATGTGCCATGTGATATGTGCCAAGTTTCGTGAAAATCGGTTGAGATTTAGATATAGCTCCCTTATATATTATCGATTGATTTTAAGAAATTGACGCACCAAGGAACCAATATATGGCAGATGGGACGTACTGAAATCAGTATAACCAAACCTGTGACAAGTTTCGTTGAAATCGGTTCATATTTGGATATAGCTTCCATATATATTCTCGTCCATATATATTCTCGTTTTTGTCAGATTGACATCAAATTTTGCACAACGTACAAAATTGAGCATAGAATAACATAGTTGCGTTTTCTAGAAGTACAGACATAGCACAACGGATGTCCTATTGATATTTATTTGAAGTCGATTTACATACTTTTGTCCCATTGTAAGAAACGAATGACATGTTTATGGATTGATCGAAGTCGATTCACATTTAGATAAATATCGCATATTTTAGTTCATCCAATTTCATGTTAATAGTCCTGTTTAATATACCCATAGTGGTGAATAGTATCACATAGTCGGCCCCGCCCGACTTTACTACTTTCCTTACTGGATTAAATATATACCTCCCATACATATCTCCGTCCGATTTTATGTATATGGTGCACCAAACTCCCAAAGTTCATTCGATTGATTCGAAATTTTGTATATCGTATTAAATTGAATCTAATCGTGTATTAACTTTTGTAGAAATCGGTTCAGATTTAGATATATGTAGTTACCACATCTATTTTCGTCCGTCTTCATTGGACACCAAATAATCAAATAATTTACATAGTTTTATCCCATTGTTCACAAACGACTATAAATCTGCCCGAATGAAATGAAATTTAGCATAGGTTGCAGAATGACATATGTATGGATTGATTTACGTCGGTCCTACCAAAAAATGGTGAAGGGTATCATATAGTCAGCCCCGTCTACATTTACTATACTCCTTACTGGTTTATATTTCAAAAAAATCAGATTTATAATTTAGGTCATCACGTGTATTTGTGGACTAATTTAATTTAAATAGTTTAACAATAATTTATATACATACCTACATACATAAATACACACAAATAATTATATTGTTAATTAATTAGTATTATTTTTTTAATGATCGATAATCAATGAACTTTAAAACAAAAACTCAAAGTAAAACATTGCACATATTCAGGTTTCAGTTACAAATCGTACTTTCAACACTAAACATGGCCCATATAAAACCACTCAATTCAATATTACAAAAAATTGCCAACGAAGAACTTTTTGAAGTGCCCACAAGAATATCAGAAGATTTGGAGGCCCTGAAATTATGGATTGGCCAGCAACCCCATCTAAAATCTCGAACCGATGATCAATTTCTAATACAATTTCTACGTGGTTGTAAATATAGCCTGGAACGGGCTAAAGAGAAAATCGATCGTTATTATACACTAAAGACGAAATTTCCACACATCATGGGTATTTATGATGTTGACAATGAACGGTTTCGTCAAATCACTCGATTGGGGTAAGGATAAATCAATTTTAATACGAAAATTTCTATTGGAATTTTATTTGGCTCTTATTTCCTCGTGTAGCTGTATTGCCCCCCTACCCATACCTCTAAATGACACTGGTTGCCGCCTTGTAATGAATCATTTCAATTATAATCCCGAAGAATGCACCGCAGAAGAAATGGCACATGTTGGTATTGCCATTTATGAATTATTTACCATAGATGATCCATATGCTGGCATCTGTGGTATTGTCACCATAATTGATATGTCCAAAGTGACAATGGCCCATGTGCTGCAAGCAAATCCAATTTTTCTAAAAACCATGGTTACATTTTTTGAAAAATCTCTACCCTTGCGTATAAAAGCCATTTATTTTGTTAATATCCCCAAGATAGCTTCGAGTTTTTTCAAATTACTGTTACCATTGTTTTCGGAAAAGTTACGACAAAGGGTGAGATATTTCGTTTTTTATACCCTTCACCACACTGTGGTACAGGGTATTATTTACTAATGGGAAATATTTTTATATTTTATTATGTTCTTATAGATTTTTTTATATCCAACCTTGGAGGAGTTGAAAAAATACATACCTCTCAAATACCTACCAGAATATTATGGTGGTGAAAATGGTTCGATGGAGGATCATATTCGTGCCCTTGAATCTAAATTTGATGAGTATCGGCAGTTTTTCAAAGAGAATGCTAACTATGGTACAGATGAATCTTTGCGTCAGGGTGGCTCTGCTAATATTGATGAATTATTTGGAGTTGGTGGAGCATTTCGAAAGCTAGAAGTAGATTAAAATCCATAGAAAATTAAATCTTTACATATATAATACATTTAGAATCCTTTACATGCCCAACACGTAAAAACATCGATAAGTTATACAGGGTGAGATAAAAAAACTACAACAAAGTCAAACGCCATAATTGTTACGTGCTGAGAGCGATAGTGCTGAGTCCTGTTGGAATGTACGAGCGGAGAGCGACCATCGCTATGGCCGGCGCTTGAGTTCTGGTGGCCAACCGAAGGTGCACATTTTCAGCTGATCTCTTTGGCAAGTAAACACGATCATTTTGTTTGCTTACAAGCTGCTGGACAACGAATGTTTTCTCGTCGGAGAAAACCAAATTCGAGAGTTCACCATTTTGGGCCAAGCGAAGCAAATCTTTAGCTCTTTTGAGTCTATTTTCTTATTGTTGCGGTGTAAGTTCTTGCACTTTTTGGAATTTCAATGGTTTTACCCCGAGCTCATGCCGAATGGACTATTGCGATATGTTCAGCTCACGAGCCATTTTTCGTCCACTGCGACGCGGGTTTCTGCTGATTTTGCTGTTTTCTTCCGTTCACTTCCTTGACGTCGGAGCACGCTACCAGTATCTCGGTAACGAGCGATGATACGAGACGCAAAAGATTTTTTCACATTTAAATGCTGGAGTGATCTAACGATAGCCACTTGTGGTTTTCAAGCCAAATATACAGAAATCACACTATGACGCTTGAATTCCATCACTTTTTTCTGGAAAATTCTCACAAAAATGCTTTTGTACGCTTGTAAACAACATAATGAGCTTTCACTGGAATAATTTTAAAAGCTTTCGGACGAGTAGCTTAGAAATGACAGCAGTCTGAAGTTGGTTGCAGTTTTTTCTCTCACCCTGTATGGGGACATATATCGAAAATGGTCTGCTAATATATTTTTGACCCTACAGAAACAAGTTGTGTTGGGTGGTGGTGGCGGGTTTTCTATGGCACATAAACTATTTGTCGTTTAAATGGTTCTATTTTCATTTTATGTTTTCTTCTTTGTTTTGTCGTGTCTCGATTTGTCTTACTTACATGTTCATGTTTTGCGTCATTATAAAAATCCTGTACAATATAGAACATTCGGTAGAGCTTGTTGCTCTATTAACAATTATTAGCTATATTGCATTTGGCATTTATATCGAAATAATTTGGATAATACATATGCGAATTTTAGAGTAACAGTGTGTAAAATAAAGAAACAATGGAATGCAAAACTAATCACAATCAATTGAGTGAAGAGCACGCGGTTGTAAACAAACCAACAACGGAGGAAAGAGACAGAGGACGATACTAAAACAAAACACAGCCACATAATGAATTTTGTTTGTTTTTTCTTTGAAGGAATATATTTGATATTGCCCAAAGAGAGAGAGAGAAATACATGTACAATATGAGAAAAAAAACTATGAATGAAATTATGAAAAAAGATCCGTTTCAATGGGTGGTAAATCAATACTAAAGCTAGTAAAGGTTTGTAACTTTCAAGATATATATTTGAAGATTTAAAGGAAAAAAATAATTTACAAAATTTGTTTGTTATTGTTTTGTTGTTGTTTTATGGAATTAAAGAAAATGGCGGCCATTATAACTCCTCACTGGAAAAAAGGGTACATATCTGGCTCTCGTATGAATTAGGATTATTGGCTTCGCTCAAATATTAATAAAATGGCGTACCTTTAAAAAAAATATTTTTGGAAAATCGCCTATTTTTTACCAAAAACCAAGTTAAAAAATAAGGAAGATCTTGACAGATTGGATTTATTCTAGTTCATACGATAGTTATACACTCACAGAGAAACGTCCCAAAATTTGGAATCGGATTATTAGTTCTTGAGTTATCGTGCCCGCCATTCGCAAAAACGCTGTTTGGAAAAAATGCGATTAAAGTTTGAGAAGCCCTCTTGTCGTCACTTGATGCTAGTACAATAAATCGGCTATATCTTCAAGAGTTTCACTTGATATTTCATAGGGATATTCTTGAATTAGTGTAGATTCGAATTAAATCAAAATACAAAATTAAATTTTTTGAAACCGTTGTTAGGTTTTGAAAAAGGTTGTTAGGTTTTATATTTTTAGAAAATCTCATGTAGTTAGCTGTAGAAGACCGCTTTCAAGCCTCTCATTTTTAGAAGATTCCAGTTTTGCCCACAAAAATTCCCTTAAAAGTCTTCTATCTACTTCTTGTGAATGTAGAAGACATGATTAAGCTTTCTTTCAATAGAAATCACCTATCATCTATTGAAAACCCCGTGGTCTACTGTCTTTAAAACATTCCTTGGTAGTTTTCTCTCCAAATAAAAAGGACACTTCAAATGTGTTTTATCTGCAAAATGCCCCTTGGAGTTTTTTCATTATGAAAAAGTTCGTTGTAAACCTTCTGTCTAAAAAAGGATTTTCGGTAGAGAGAAAAGATCATCTCTATAGAATGTATATGAGAAGTTTTCTGGTCGGAGAAGGCTACTTCCAAGTCTCAGGTCTTCTATCTTCTTCTTGTATATATAGAAAACTCTTTCCATATACAGTAAAGCCGTTCGATGTATTATATCTATATCTATAAACACCGCTATCTTAATATAAAACAATATTCGAGTATCTTGGGGTATTCTGTCGAAAAAGACTCATTGGAGATCATAGAATGCTCTTTTGGGGCTGTTCTACCCATAGAAGCTCTTTTGGCCTTATGAGGCCATTGATGTATTACTCCTATAGAAACCCTCTTTGAGGTATCTTATTTGTACAAGATGCCTGGAGGTATTGGGTTGAGGGGCGTGTAAGTATTAAAGACTCTTTGGAGATCAGGTATTTACAGAGGAGCTGTGAAAAGTATTTAAATTGAAGAGGTCCCTATGTCTGATATTAGTAGAAGATCGATCTTTACAGAACGAACTTTTAAAACTATATTTTCTACATAAGGCTTCTTACCCATAAATATCATTGGAATATCTTCTCACTGTAAAAAATGATTTCGATATATGAAAGACCTCCAGAAGGTCGGTTGAAATTTAGGAAGGTATCGTAAATGTATTTTATCTGTAAAATAACTTTTGGAGCTCTTCTGACTCTTTGTGACCCCACGAAGGTATTTTATAAATAAAATATCTCTAGAAAACTTTCCCTCTGAAGAATGTATCTTAGATAAATTGAAGGCCACTAACACGTCGGTTCAGATTTAGGAATAACTAATGAAAATATTTTATCTGTAGAAAATAGAGTAGGAGCTATTCAATCTCTTGTTGAACCTTTGAATGGATCTTATCCATAAAATATCTCAGGAAATTTTCTCCCCGTAGAAAATCGACATGCGGAAGACGTCTGAAGTAATTCCAATATTTTTAATATCTCCACATGAAATATTAAAAATATATAAAAAAAACCTCTAAAGGGATATTTTCTGTAGAAACCCTCTTGGAAGACTCCTATCTATAACAGATCCCAGAAGGTCTTCAATTGAGGGGCAACTAGGATTTGAAGACTCCTTAGAGATGTGGTAATAATAGAGGATCTGTGGAAAGTATTTACATTGGATTGTATTAAATATAAAACATGTTATCTATAAAAATATATATATGGAAGACCTCTTGAAGGTCGGTTCGGATTTAATAAGGAATCTGAAATGTATTTTACCCCTTACAGGTTTCTTCCCAATGTAATATCTTTGGAAGGTCTTCGCTCTAATTAAAATACTGTCGATTTATGGAAGACCACTAGAAGGTTCAGATTCAGAAATAGAAATAAGATTTAGAAATAACTTTTCAAAATATCCTATGTAAGTGTTGGGGCCCATAAGACCCCTTAAAGTTCTCGCAATTAAATATATTTAGAAGACCTTTCCCCGAAAGAACATTTTATTGCAATAAATGGAAGAATCCCAGAATGTAGGATCGGGTTTAGAATGATGGTATTTTGGCTATAGAAGAAGTGTCGAGGTTCTTCTGTCTCTTGGTGACCCCATGTAGTTCTCTTACCAATAAAATATCTCTGGAAAATCTGCTTTTTGTTAAAAAATTTGCCTATATATGGAAGGCCACTAAAAAGTATTTTATGTATTAAATACCACTTTAAAAAAATTGTCTGTATAAGACCTTTTCGGAAGCTACCTATCATAGGCTTCGATGTATTTTTTCTGAAGAATAATTCAACTCCTCCCAACTTGTTTTCATTATTCGAAAATAATACAGTAACAAAATTCTTAAAATATTTTCATTATCCCATTTTATTATTTTCAAGTAATTAATCTACCTCAAGTTTTCGAAATGAACCACCAAGACCAAATAATTTGTCCACATCCGATGACTCTTCTTCTTGTCGCAATGATTCATTAACACCATAATTAACATTTTCCTGGAAATATTCTCTATACTCATCGAATTTGACTTCCAGGGCCTTGATATGTTGTTCCATGGTACCATTTTCACCACCATAATATTCTGGTAAATATTTGAGAGGTATGTGTTGCTTCAAATCCTCCAAGGTGGAACAAATGAAAATCTAAAATATTTAGAAAATATTCAATTTTCAATATTAATTTTTTTCGAATTTGTACTTACCCTCTTTCTTAACTTCTCCGAAAATAAGGGAATAAAAAAATTGAAAAAATTTCTAGCTGCCGGTGAAACATTTACAAAATAAACTGCTTTATTTCTTAGGGGCATTGCTCTTTCTATAAATTCAATTCCGACTTTAAGAAAATTTGCAGTTGCTTGTAATAAATGTGCCATCGTAACCCGGGACATATCGTCAATGTTAATTATCCCGCAAATACAGGCATAGGGATCATCAATGGTAAATATTTCATACATGGCCGAACCAACATGATATATCTCCTCAACGCGATATTCCTCAGGATTATAATTGAAATGACCCATGACCAAGCGGCAGCCATCGCCATTGAGGGGTATGGGTAAGGGGGCAACACAGCTAAAATAAAATTTACTTAATATTGTGTATAGTTTACATAGGATTTTCTTACCCTAAACGTGCCACTTGACGAAATCTCTCATTATTCAAATCATAAACGCCTAAGGTTTCGGGAAATTTAATCTTCATTGTATAGAACCGCTCGATTTTCTCTTTGGCCCTTTCCATGCTATATTTACAGCCGCGCAGAAATTGCAATAGAAATTGATCATCTGTGCGAGCTGTCAAGTGTGCCTGCTGTTCAATCCATAATTTCAAAGCCTGTAAATCGTCTGGTATTCGAGAGGGTATTTCAAAAAGTTCTTCAATTGCAACACATTGTAATGTCGAAGGAAGGGGTTTTATTTGAGACATGTTTATATTTTGAATTGTGATCTGCAACTAACGGAATAATTTGCATTTATTTTGTTAAGCTTAAAGATTTCTTTATGCGTAAATGTATGTACGTACGAATATAAGTATGTAATTTTATTACATTACAATGTACTAAGATATTTATTAATTTGCTCATTAATTAGCTTTAATGACTACATAAAATTGAATACATACACTAGACTACAGGTAATGCATACACCAGTTTACAAAAGCGACCAATTTTAATTTTCTAATTGACAAACATTAACATATATTCACAGAAACATAAATATTTTACTATAGCAGGATTCGCAAATTGATAATTTGAAATTTATAGACATATATTGACAAATATTTGCCGAAGACTACAAGGTAGCTTAATACTGGTCTATATTAATATATTTATATTGGTCATTAGCGTATTCCAAAGAAATTTTTTTGGAAAATCTACATGCTTTCTCTTTAATAGGGAAAAAATAGTTCTTCTCACATAAAATGTATTGGGAGTATAGATTTTATATAGAAATTCCATCGATATATGGATATTGACAACCTCTTGTTGACATCCTGTTTGTACCACTTTCTTAACTCCTCTCCATGGATGGTATATTAATTGTGTAATTTCTTTTGTAACTCATTGAAATATTTTCCGTCAGAGTGTACAATTCTCAATCAGCGTAAAAATTCTGAAACGATCTAACAATGTCCGTCCGAAGGAATTGAGAAAGGGTCCTGAATTTTTGAACTGTTTAGAATTTTGCGGATGTTTTTTAAACGAAATGACTGTTAGGATTTGTCATTAGAAAATGTTATGGAAGGTGGAAAAACTTCGTGGGGGTGGGGGTAGTATTCGAGAATTTTGTGCACGTAGTTTTGTACCGATTTGGCTGAAATTCGATGGAAAATGGTGGAAAATTGCACATCGTACTGACTTGAGACTAGGATAACGTGTGTTAAAATTTTAAGAAATCGGTTTAACGTTTAGGTATATATATATATATATATTCGTCCGATTTTTTGTAAACGAACTTTTTGGTAACACATTGAATTGAGTCCAGAATAAGGTGTGTTATTATGTTTCATTGAAATCGAATCAGATATAGATATAGATTTCATATACAATTTCATTCAATTTTACCTAAATGATGCATTAAATATCCAAAGTTTGGCCGATTTCCATGACATCTTGCACAGCGTAGCTAATTGAACATAAAACAAGTAAAAAAGTGTCAGTCGGTGTTTCAGACAGATATATACCCTCATCCTATGGTTTCGGAGGTCTTCGGAATTACACACAGGTTATATTATTCGCTTTACATAAGGTAGGGTAGACTGGGGCACCTTCGGCAATCGCGTTTTCAATATGAAGCTCTCACCGTACATCACTAGTTTCGATACATAGGTATCGAATATCGAAATAAATAACTGACACAAAGTTTGAAAGTTCTAGCTAATAAGCTTATTTAGATACATAGGTTTTTGTATTTTTATAGATGTTTCTGTAATATTTCAATTCCATTTCGTAAGTATTTCGTGTATACAACTTTTAAAAAATTTAAGACAATATTATTAAAAAGTGGTTAACTACGATGTGTATTATTATACAAATATTTCAAAATATAATGTTTTTACAAATCTGATCGAAAAAAATGAAAAAAAAACTATAAAAAGTACATTCGGGGTATATTCGGCATTTTAAAGTGGGGCACATTCGGCCATATACAGATTGTGCAATAGTATTTCCTTAAAATGTTTTTGAGTTTGTCTTTAAAACTGATCCTTTAATATGGCCCGAAAATGCATATATAAGATCAAACGTGCTTGTATTGACGAAAATGCGATAGAAAACCTCTATTTCTGATGGTGTGTGCGACCTTGATATGTAAACATCCGCCGCTAGAAAATAAAGCCCTATAATTCAAACATTGTGTGGCGTATTAAAACCAAATAGAGCCTTTAGAGGATCAGAATTTCAACCAGACTGATAGCGATAACAATTACCATGCTATGACTATGGTGCCGAATGTGCCCCATCAAATGCCGAAGGTACCCCGGGTTGGGGCACATTCGGCGAATTTGACTTTTTTTACAAAACTGAACAATTTTTTAACTAATACTATTTTTATATATCTTTTTGGTACTATTTTTGATAATTAAGAGTCAGAGGACAATAATCAGCCATAAAGTTGTTATATATGTTCAATAAGTACTGAGATATAGAGCTCTAAAAAAAAAGTGCCGAAGGTGCCCCAGTCTCCCCTATACGTTTTTATCCAAGAGGTTTCGGATTTGATATGTATCAAATCGGTTATTCAAAATTAAATTAAATAAAAAATTTATAAAATATTGACCCTTTGTGGGAGAGATATCAGAATGAGTGGAACATTGCGCCCCACCTTCGGTCTTGATCTACGTGGGGTAAAGATAATAGGTTGTGCAAAGTTTGGTTCAAATCGAACATTTCTTTCGCCTAATATTGAATTTCTATTGAACATTTTTAGCATTTTTGTTAGAGGTACCAGAAGGAATAGGTCAATGGGTCCCATATACGGACTTGATCTAGGCTTGGAAATGATAATAGATTTTGAAAAGTTTGGTTCAAATTGGGCATTCCATTCGTCTAATATTGGACTCGAAGATTTTGATCATATGTTGGAGAGGTACCAGCAGGAGTGGACCAAATGGCCCAATAAAGATAAAAAGTTGTACAAAGTTTGGTTCGAATCGGTTCGAAAGTTTGGTTCGATATTCTCCATCTTTGAGCTTGAACTACGGTGGAAGAAATATTACGATGTGCAAAGTTTGGATGAAATTGGTTACTACCTTCAAAAGTTATTGTGCGCACCTGCCGACCAGTCAGACGGACGGACGGGCATTTTTAAATCTGAAACGGATTTTGTCCAAAGAAAAATTCGATCTAAAATCAATATTTTGTAGTATCAATGTGTATATACATAAATACCCTCATTAGGCATAAAGCTGAGGGAATAATGAAGATCTTAACAGAGAACGAAGAGATAGAGCTTTACACACCACGCTACTACTTTTATGATGTTTGGTATGGCAAATATGATACCTCCGATGGGATATATTGGAACAGGGGTATAACCGAAGTGCCACATTTTAGGTTTTTGGAAGTTTTCACAACAGTGGGTATTTTTGAGTCTTAAAGGATGAAAACCCTAAATATGACAGGTCTCGGTAGTTAAGGTAGTTTATTGTACCTAGATGCATTTTCCCAACGAAGTGAAAAAGACCTGAAATAGAAATTTGGAATTCCGGGTTCTTGGAAGGTTTGTCTTGGTACATATCCCCCATTTACGGAACTTTGACGGATTGTTATAGAATTCCGAATTCTGGGAGGTAGAAAAGTATCTTTAGAGGACATTTTCAATATAGTTTTTGCAATGTTTGTAGTTTTTGTCCAATTTTCCAAAAGAAGTTGCTGCAAATTGACATTCCGGGGTCTAGGAGCTTGAAAAATATATTCAGTTTCAAAGACTTTTGCTGCATTTTGCAACCAAAATAAATATTAATTTAGATCTATGGATCGACCTGGCGCCCAACCAAAGTGGCTGTAATAAATACCGGGTTCTGGTATTTTGACTTCAGAATCTTTGGTATTTTGAATTCACATATCATTGTCGAAGCACAAGTTCGGCCCATTCGAACAACGATTTTAATTTTTTCGAACATGTTATTTGAAGTGATGATTTTATATTCAGTTTATCTCTTTTGAGTCGAGCTTATGACCAAAATCAGCTCATCAGGCATATTAGGCTATGTGGCTTTGTAAAGGTCTGTTGATAAAAGGTATGTTGATAATTTGTATTTATATCGAATTTATTGCGAAATTGGAGCGACTTAAATTGAAAATTATCTCGGTTAGGACTTTGTCCTCGCTACAGAAGCAGATTTTTGTTGTAGCGTTGCATATTTTTCCAAACGCCTACAATTGCTCCCATGGTATATGCATGTTTTTGTGCAAGCTTTGTATTGCTCTATTTCCCTATATATATTTCGATTTGTACGAAATTTGGTATTGCGTACTGAATTAAGCCTAGAATGATGTGTGCTAAGTTTCGTGAAAATCGTTTCAGATTAAGATATAGGTCCCATATATATATTATCGTCCGATATAAGGTAAATAGTGTACCAATGTCCCTATATATCTTTCGTTTTGCACGACATTTGACACAGCGTTCTAAATTAAGCCTAGAATGATGAGTGTTAAGTTTAGGGAAAATCGATTCAGATTTAGATATAGCTCCCATATATATTTTCGTCCGATTTAAGGTAAATGGTGTACCATATATATCAATATATCTTTCGATTTGCACGAAATTTGGCATAGCGTAATGAATGAAGTCTAAAGTGATGTGTGTTAAGTTACGTGATAATCGGATCAGGTTTAGATATAGCTCCCATATATATTTTCACCCGATTTTATGTATATGGTGCACCAAAGTCCCTATATATCCTTCGATTTGCACTAAATTTCGTATATACCCAAAGTGGTGAAGGGTATCATATAGTCGGCCCAGTCCGACTTCACTACGTTCCTTACTGGTTTATAAAGGCGTCACCCAATTATTAGTATTTTTAAGATTTTCGCTAAATTTTAAGCGCAGATTATTTTTTTTAATAAGAGTACTCTCTTTCATTCGCACATTGCCACAACACTACATATATTTTATTATTTTTTTTTATTTTTATTTATTTTTAATATTAATTTTTCACTTATTTACATCCACCCTAATATACATTTCACTACACGATGAAGAAAGACATTTTTAATTTCAACGACCTGTTTTTTTATTACCGTGATTCATTTATTGTTTCTTATTATAACTGTATATAGCTATTCTCATATATGGCCAATATACCGAAGGTTAGTTTCAAATAAACAGTTCAAGTGCAAACATGCCAACGATTAAGCCACTAAAACCGGAATTGCAAAAAATTGCCAGAGAACAACTGCATGAAGTGCCCGGCAGAAT